AACAAACCTGGGCCGTGTATTTCTGACGTTGATTGATTTAATCCAGAATTATAACTGCGCTAAACGGATGAGACCCTGAACAATCAACGTGTTTTAGAATGAATCTAGTTTTTTCCGGGTGCACTGATCTGAGTTGCGGCTCGTGTGAAGTTTGCGCGAGTGAATAACAGTCGTGGAGGTCGGACACGTCCACGCGCTGCGGAGGATTCGTGCAAACAAACGCTGGATTACTGAGAGGACGAACCCGAACATGCGCCACTTCGTCTTCCTGCGCATATTCATCGGATAACGTGTGATTAGCGGTGTTAGCGTCGCACATACTCACCACCACGGGGTCACGGTGTGGTGGGCGAGATCGAACTCTGCTGACAGGAGCAGGACAGCGCGGGACTCTCTCCCTCTTTTCCCCCCAACACCAGTTCCAGAGGACGGACTGAAGGCACCGGGAGCTGCGGGGTGTTTGTCTGTGGTTCTCCCGCTGCTGCTGCTGACGGTCAGCGTGTAATCCACTTTACCTCCCCCCCTCTCCCTCTCTCTCCCTCTCTCTCTCCCTCTCTCTCTCCCTCTCTCTCTCCCTCTCTCTCTCCCTCTCTCTCTCCCTCTCTCTCTCCCTCCCTCCACACAGCGAGGGAGGTCAAACCTTATTTACCAACTTCATTCTGCAGCCAGAGCCACGCACTGACTCAACCCACGCAAGTGCTCCTCGGAATTTCTTCCGAGCTCTGAAGTGCTCCTCTCAGACACCATGGTTCCGACCTGTGGTTCCGACACACGATGTTGTTTCATGTGTAAAAACAGTTTGAAGAATTGTTTGACATCGAGTATAGATGATCAATGTGATTATTGTTGGTCATGGAAGTGATATTAGTACTGGTTGCTATTATGTTATTATGATTTGGCGTTTAAAATAACCCTCTATTTTAGTTCATTCATTTTTTTGCCATGGAAACACTTTGTAACCCTGTTTAGATAAGTGTATATTTTATTCTCCTAGAATATCATCACTATTATTATTATTATTATTTTGTACCATTATTATTGTAATGATGAGAATACTGTTGTAGCAATAATAACAATGACAACAACAGTACAAATAAGTTAGTTTGTTTATTTTTTACTTTACTTGACTTTGATTTCTGTCTTAAAAGTTGCTATATGAATATTTTATTATTATTATTTGTATCCTTATTATTATTATACATAACAGTTCGTTCTTTTGTTTTGGGAAAGTTTTTGGATGTTTAATTTTTTTATATTTAATCTTTATTCAATGAGGCAGTCACATTGAGATCAAGATCTCTTCACCAAGATGAGGCCTGAGAAGAAGAAACATTCACAATGAGCAACGAACAATCAAACACGAGCAACAACAAAACAACACAAATGAATCCAGTTGTGCAGATATTGATTCGCACATGAGGGAGGTCTAAAGTTAGGTAGTTACTGGAAGAAGGCAGAAATCATCAACATCAAATCTGCACGTTTCCTCGTGAATCAATGAGGTTGATTTATCCATGAGGTCGTTTCCTCTTCTGGACTCAAACTCTTTTTCAAAAGTCCTCATTTCACCAGTAGGTGGCGCACACTTTCATCCCACCCACGCAAACATGCGCCACGAGGTTTGCTCAACTTCAGCTCTGCGCGGCTCTGGTTTTGCGCTTCCGCTCAGACTCGTCCTCTGCTCCCATTGGTCCTCGTCGTCTGTTGACAGGAGGTGGGGACAAAAGGCGCCTTCTGATTGGTCCAGGGGGATGAGGGGGGGAAACGTGCAGGTGTGTGTTGCATTGTGAAGTTTGACACGATGTTCTTGGCAACAGATTCGATTTTTTATAATAAACAAGGAACTGAGGCAATGACTGACACGTTTAAATACAAACAACACGCGTGTGCCAAGAATAAACTATAACATGGACGGGGTGTGTGTGTGTGTGTGTGTGTGTGTGTGTGTGTGTGTGTGTGTGTGTGTGTGTGTGTGTGTGTGTGTGTGTGTGTGTGTGTGTGTGTGTGTGTGTGTGTGTGTGTGTGTGTGTGTGTGAAACCGGCCTCTGCATCCACCTACTGGTGAAGAGACTGCACCACATCAACACTGACCTGTTTGACTTTTATTGCCTATACATTCATGATATTTGAATATGTTTTTATATCTTCATCTTATTTTCTGCTCTATTTGTTTTTCCCCTTTCTTGTGTATGTGTATATACAACATAGTGCACAATCCCTCCCTCTGTGCTTATAGTATTTTTTAAGTTTTAATTTTGTTTCCCATTTTTCTATTTTTCATATTTTTGTATATTTATACTTGTGTAAATACACCTCAGCAAATTTCTTGTATGTTTCAACCTGCTTGGCAATAAAACCTGATTCTGATATGGGTACATATGTATATCTGTATGTATGGGTATATATGCATGTGGGTGTTATGGCTGTGTATATGTATATATTCTTATGTATATATATCATGTTCTTCCATGTGTTACATTTTGAAATGATGGTGAAAAATAATAAACACAGTCTTCAAAAAACAACGTGAAAAGTCACTGTTAAATGTTATGATCAGACAGTGTAGAATTAATCAAATATCAATCTGAATAGTTACCATATTTAAAAAATAAAGCAGTTAGTGTGATTAAATGTGCCCTGGTATGAACTGCAATAAATATATGTGATTACAAGTCAAAAAATCTTTGGGCATTTCTGTCTTTATTGATGAGACAGCCAAAGAGTGAAAGAGAGAAAGTGGAGGAATAAGACGTGCAGCAGGAGTTGAAGTCAAACCTGTGGTCACTGCAAGGGTCTGAAGCCTCAGTACATGCCAGCACTCCTACAAGACATATGAGTCATTACATGTATTTTAAACTATAATTTCAACATAGTTGGTTTCCCAGTATACAATGACAAAAGTGCCCAAGTGGCCAAACACTATAAAACTGTAGGAGCTGCATGTTCTCTACTGTTTCACATTTCACAACCTCTGATGAGTCCTAGCCCCTGAATCAAAACCTCTCTTTCCGACCAGCTCCGGATGCTGCTGCTGTGGACAGGTGTGATTTGAATGGCAAATGACACCTCCCCCCATGCAAACACAGCAATTAATGTGGTCATGGCAGCAGCAGCAAGAGGTCAGAGGGAGCATTCTCAGGTCAGGTTCACAGGAAGCTTATTGATGAGTGAAATACACAGAGCTGTGTAAAACCTGGGCTGGTGTCTATCTTCTCATTTCAAACCTGAGCCTCAGCAGACGACTTGTAGATATGAGCACTTTACAGCAGGAGTAAGTATTTCTGGAGAAAGCCTGCTGCCATCTGGACTCAACAGTACAACAAACCCCCCCCCCCCCTCCCTTCAGTGCTCCTTCAGGAGACAGAGAAGATTGTAGGTTTGTAGCAAAGCAAACACTGACAAACAATGGAGCTAGTGTGTCACTATCAAAGAAGAATTACCCTCTGCCACCGCTACTCAATGTGAAAATGTAAATCATGAAATTATTTTCTATGTTATGACTGTTTTGGTCCAATCACGACTGAGTGATCACACCTCCAGCTAAACATTTGGCAATTTCAATCCTCTCAGAATGGATAATGACGCTGTTAGAAAAGACGACGCACGAACCAAACCTTGGAAAGGCCCAGCGCACCGTTCTCCTCTAGTTGAGATGAAAGAAACATGATGCAACACACAGACACTTTTGTTTCTTTTTCCATTCAGAATGCTTTATTGGCATGAATGTCAGGGGTGAACAATTTTGCAAAAGCAACTTTTTGTCTCTAACGTTTGGATTTTCAGCCTCCAGCAGTGCATGGAAATATTTTACACACAAGTGGAAAAGTCACATCAGGATCATAAGGTAGAACATCATGTACAATTCAGGTGGACACACAATTTCTTGTTGTCGTGGTTAAGGCGTTGAACTAGATACACATCAGGGTATTTTTCTGTGCATGATCAAATCCTGCTGATAACAGTAGATTTTGGACCAGAGCCAAAACCGAACTACAACCCCTGCAGAAAAAAAACGGTCTTATAAGGTGGAATGATGAAATATTAAGTTCAGGCGTGTGAATCCACGGCTCCACAAAACTTTGTACAGGATTATCATCTCATCCTGTGGGACAAAAAGCTCTTATAGTTTGTTATTATGTGGAGGAATTATCTATGAGGGCTGCAACCATTCTGAAAACGAGACCAACCAGTAACACAAACGTCCACAGTGACAGATGACTGAAGTGTGACACCCCAACCCTCTGTCACCACTTTAGCAACAGCCTGTTGAGCTCTTGTTACTTTATTGTTGTAAAAATCTATTTAGAGTTAATTCAATTTTGACCTCTGCTACGGAGGTTATGTTTTCATCCCTGTCCAACAAAAAAAAAAACAACTGCATGGATTTCTACCAAACTTGGTGGAAGGATGAGGTATGTGTCATGGAAGAAGCCATTCATTTTATTTATTCATTCGTGAATCTTGACGATTAATATCAGGCACATTTAGGGAATTGATATTTATGAGTGTATGAAATCTGGTGCCTTGGCAGGAGTTGTTTTATTTTCTTTATCTTACCCCGGCGTAAAGCTAAGGTCTGTACTGAACTGTGGAGTTGGAGAATCACTACACCCCTAACATATAGATAGAAAGATAGATCCCAAAGTCACACATGGAAGCAGGACTTTTTTCACCAAACCATTTTTTAAAGGACAATCCAAATAAATAGAAAACCAAGAACAACATCATACCTACAAGGGAATGACTCTTAAGTGCACACTGGGGAGCATAAGCAACAACTAAGATGTTTGGTCTTAAAGGAACAGTAAGAAATGTTGGGAAACACACCTTCCTTGCTGAGGGTTTATTAAGAAGGGTGATACATTTAGAGTACAAATATGGTGTCAATCTTTTTCTCATTAAACTCTCAACAAGTCCATTTCCCAAAATGTTGGACATTGTCTTTAAGAAGGCACTACATGGACTAACACTCTGCAAACATCTGCTGTCATGTTCTCACTGTTCATCAAGAACCTGTTATAGCTAAGTTAGATTCTAAATGACTGTTTGCATTCCCCATTACAGTAAATGGGTCTCATCCTCCGGTTATAAATCAATCTATCAACAGTCATATCCAATAGTTTTTCACCTGCCTCATAGTTTGACTCATAATGTTAAACATGCTTGAAGACAAAACAACACAACAGCCCAGGATTGAAAATGTCACAGTTTCCCATTAACAAAAAACAAAGAAAACACAATATAATGTTATAAATAAAAACAGGATGAACTAACAAAATTAAGCCCAAACTTTTAAGAGGATAATAAACATGCACCCAGGAACTGATCATTAAGACTATTACAATAACATCCAGAGACGTGTTTTCAGTTACTTGGCTTTGTAACGTCAAGGCACTGTATAGCTTAAATACGATTGTTCATGGCTGTGAGTGTTCCACAGAGTTTGACTAAAATAATGTTACATTAAAAAAAACAAAAATCTACATCTAACATGTTACATCTCTCTGTACATTGTGAACAATCCCAACAACGTGTGAGGAGGGTGAGGAGTGTGTGGCCACCAACGTTCGATGTCTCCATGTTGGCTGCAAGTTTGAAACAATGACTTCAAATGTCCAAAAAACGTAGAAGACAAATCTACAGCGTCTAAACTCTGACTATGGCTTGAAAAAGAGACTGGTTTGTCTTCCACTGTAAAAACAAACCTAAAATCATCTTCTAATGCGTAAAAACACATGCGACTGTACATTTAAAGATGTAAATATAATTCCTGTAAGTGTTTTTTTAAGAAAATGGACATGAACGAAGTTGTGGTCAAAAATGAAAAAAAACAAAAAAAAAAAACGATTTCAGTTACACAAACATCTCGCAGATTATACAAAGGTGCTGGGAACAAGGTAGTTATTTAAAATTATCAATTGGCACTAAAAGTGTTAAACCCTTGCAATTTTAAAACCGCTATGCAAACTGTTTTTATAGAATTGAAGCATCCGTCAAACTAGGATCACAAATTATGACATAATTGTTTTTATGAACATTTAAACCTAATTAAAAGTGACTTTTTTATTTTACCACCTGGGGGCGCCAGTGTCAGATTTATTTTTCATTTTGCACACAGTTGTTTTCATGTTGGATGATATTCTATATTTTTCATAGTGTCAAACAAATTCCATGAAAAGACAAAACCTAACATATTCTGATTTCTATTTAAAATAAATATTTGTAACATGATAGAAACATCTTCATAGGAACCAATGTGTTTGGGGTTGAGGCCCACAAACAAGTTTCAAAGTAGATGAGAGATTCATCGAGTTTGAGAATCTTAGAATATATAGAAACATAGAATATTTCTTGCCTATTCCTTGAATTTGTATTGAGAACTATAGAATATGAAAAATACACTTTTTCTTACTGTCATTTTTACAAGTCACAGGAGAAGAAGCACATTCTGTGCGTGCTGGCTCGTGGATTACTGGGACATTGTTAATGTAACTGAGTTTCTCCTGCTGTGACAAGTTAAAATGTCTGCTGGGAAACCCTGGAGGGGTTATGGAAAACACAAGAAGGCTATGAATGGTTAAAGTGTAGATCCTAAAACTCCACTACATAAGAATAAATACAATGCATCCGTCAGTGAATGGGCCAGGCGTTGTTGTGGGATGATGTGTTTACCAAGATGAGGACAAATGTCTGAGAGCATCCACGAGGAAATCCAGAGTGTTCCCCGACTGTTGTGAGTCCAAATGTCCAATTCAAAACTCCTCAGACTTCAAGTCTCAGAGTTCAACATGGATGAAATGATGTCCACCAAACTATCAAGTCCAAAAAAGTAGCCATCTTCTCTGTTGCCCTCTACCCACAATGCTCGGTGGGTGAGTTCCTCTCCATCAGGAAGAGGTGTGGTTTTCCCAAAGTCAATCATCCAGACTTTGGCCCGCCCTTTACTGTCGTGAACGAACAACAAGGAGCTGCCAATCACCTGCAGAAACACAAAGACGAGAAATAAATACCAAACAGTTTTTTTTTTCCACTTCACATTGTTCGCTTCCTGTTTTCTGTTTACATTCAAATGTACTGGTGATTGTGTGCGCGCACAATCGCAAGTGTGAAACTGAATGTGTGGTCAGGACTGTTGCTGCCCAGTTTCCATGACAAAGCCTGCTGTGTCAGGGTAGATGCAACATGAGGACTGGTGTGTTTGCAAGAGCAGGTCACTTTCACTAAATTAAAATATGGATCTACAGTGAGGCCCAAAAAAAAACCAAAGAACAGGTTTGATGCAGTTTTAGTTCTCCATCAGTCTACAGAACACGGAAATTCTCACATAGAGGTTTAGTTTCAGCATCGATTCGAAAATGAGTGAATCTTTCCAGATTTCCACTCACGAGTGGTCGCCTTACAGGGTGTTAACATTTTCAAACATATGAATAATATGAAGTAGAGACAACTCAAGCTGTTGAAGCTGCAAAAGCGTTGTACATGCAGCATCCAAGAGGGTTTGGGTGGCATTATGTTCAACCATTAAATGTTTTGTTTTATAAATTTGGTAATAAGTGTGACAATAAAACCAGCATTAATGTATTTTATCAAGACTCAAGATATTATTAGTTTATAGCTAAAAAAAAACATTTAAGTGTGCAAACTGAGGGGCAAAGGTGAAGATCCATTAATTATGTTTCCACTTTCTTTAACAGTGGAAGATCTGGTATGTAAGGGAAGGATATAATTATTGTGGATTTAGTGAACTGATATGATATGAGTGTGAAATGGGTTGCAGCTTGGTTGAATATAAGGGAACTGTGGCAGAGGTACTGTATGTGCTCTACTGAGTGCCACTCTAGTTCTTGACTTAAATCAAGTTTATAAAAGAAAGATCTGATCAGTTTTAAGTTAAAAGTAGACGATTGTTCTTGTAGAAGCAGCAGCTGTGAAGAGAGCAGCAGTAAAACTCTGTTTCAGTCACTGGACATGTGCCTTTACCTCGTGGGTTTTGAAGAAGGGGGAGGTCTCAAGAGTGTCTCTGATTTCCTTCAGCCTGGTTAGGTAACTATTCTGTAAAGAAAACACACACAGTCACTTTTGTTTGGCTTTATCAGAAGTGAGCTGCTGATTCAACCAGAAAACATCACAACAACCCAAAATCATTTGATTTCCAATTCTCAGTCCACTCAGCTGCACAGTTTACGTTTCTGGAAGCATGTTTTATATTTTAAAAATTAGCAAATGTCAAAAAACTAAATTCCTGTTCATTTAATAATCATAATAATTCCTTCAATCATTTCAAAATACAACACCACAGTCATGAATGGTTTCCTATTCTCACTGTATGCAACTGAATGTGTGTGTGTGTAGCAGCCCAAGGACTTCCCTTTTTGTTTGACCCTGGAAGCATGAGGCCACATCTACAGTATGTACACATGTGTTTCCATATGTATGTGTGTGTCCATTCCTCATCTGTATTTCAGTCCCATACAGTAGTCAAGGCCATTGACACGCACACACGCGCACGCACACACACGCGCGCACACACACACACACACACACACACACACACACACACACACAGGAACACACGAACACAGGAACACAGGAACACAGGAACATGCTTACCAGCACACTTACCAGCACGTCCTTATTTCCTTTGACAAAGTCGTGAAAGGCTGTAGTAACTTGCTCTCTTGTCTTTGTCTTCTTAAAATCTCTGTTCACTGTCCCATCCTCCTTCTACAGAGGAGAGGAGAGGAGAGGAGAGGAGAGGAGAGGAGAGGAGAGGAGAGGAGAGGTGGCAATCAATGTGAGGACTGATGTTATGTGACAGTTTAACATGTTTATTTGCAGTAATAGAATATGACAATATATCGCTGTAGACAGCACAAACTTAAGTACCTTAACTTATACTTAAAAAAATTTAGCATAACTACAATTTCCAGGCTTCTGGTATAGATGGGAAGGATGGGGCTAAGGCAGAGGACGGGAGGTGAGGAAGGAAAAGGGGCAGAGGAGAGAATGGACAAAAAGAAAACAGGAAAAACAATGGGGGGAGGAAATGAAGCATTGAGGGAAATATATATTTAGAGCCTTAAAGCAGGAAACTGTCTTTGACTACTGAGTCAAAAATATTTCACTCTCACAAATGTGTAATTTCTGTGGTAAAGTGACTAATTTTGATACGGTAAATAAGGATTATTTTCATTCCAGATTACTCTATCAGTAATTCTTTAGGATTATTTAATCAATCACTGTGACAAAACGTTCAAGAAGGACCTTCCCATTTACCCAGAATTCCAGGTGAAACATTGAAATCATTGTTTTGTTTTTCAGTATTTGAGAAGTTATATTAATATTTTCAGTGGAAGTACAGTAGATTAGCATCAGGAGCAGAACCAGCAGTGGAAGTCAAAACAGTTGGTGGGTTCACAGTGAAATAAATGAGCTTTTCTTATTGTGATGGCTGCCTGGCAACAAGGAACTATTTGAAGACTAAAGTATTTTTCCCCTTTATGGTTCAAGTCTGAGCACAACTCTCAAATTCACGCGCGCGCAAACGCACGCACGCACGCACACGCGAACACACACACACACACACACACACACACACACACACACACACACACACACACACACTTTTCTGTGTGATTGTTTTTAAGGGATAACCTTTGGTGTCATGGCAACAGACCACCGGGAAGCCGGGAATGTCCTTATATAGCCACGACCCTCAAATAAAGACAGAGAGGGAGATTTGTGTGTGCATGTGTATGCAATGTCAGTACCAGATGCTGAGGCCTATAGAGCTGCCACAAACAGGCTTCGTGTACGACAAAGGATCTCATGCACAAACATATTCTTCAGAGGAAGTTCCTGCTCAAAACAGGAAGTTAGATCACGCCCCTGAAGGACACACACACACCCTCACACAGACACACACTGAACACCAGAAGAAAGAAGGGAAGGAAGGCTCAGTGAGTGTTACCTTGACTCCCTCTATCCTGAATCCCAGGGTGGCCGTTGAGCTTATGGTCTCTCTCCATTGCATGTATCTGGGTTTGGTCACCGCTTTCTGGTCGTTTTCCTCGGGTGTAGCTGCCACAGGATCAACCTCAATCATTTTCTGATACATGTCAGGTCTCGGAGAAGGCTTCTTGCGAGCCTTGGTCAGCTCTTCCTCTAGATAGGTTCTGAAGCGAGGGAAAAGAAACAGGTGGTGCAGACAGAAGAAAAAGTGGGTGAGAAAGATGAGCAGAGGCTGAGAGAGCCGGTACGATGTCTCTACTAAAACAGCAGGATACAGTGGTTAACATCACACGCTCTAAGACGGATTCCCGGATGTAGGAATGTGTCAGAATCACAAAGAATGTGACAGGGCAAGACGCATGAGCAATGAGAAGATTATATGAACTTTAAACAAATCCTCAAAGCCAAAACATGCAGTATTTAGGAGAGAGTTATTTGCATGGCTCACCTTGACATAAGGAAATTGCTGTATTTCCCACAGAGACAACAAAGGATTATTAACTTCCCCAACCAATTTCCACAAAACTTGGTGGAAGGATGTGACGGACAAATGTGGTGCACATCCGGATCAGAGGGCAGATCGAGAACAACATGACAAAGGGCATTTTTGACATTCTTACAAATGTTCCAGGGAATAATGCATGAATCCAAATAAAAATGTGGATCTAGGAAATTCAGGATGCAAGCTTCAAGATACCAGTCCATGTACTTTTCAACCCTCCCCTATGATAACAAGCTCTGGGTTGTCACCCAAAGAATGACATCATGAAATACAAGCAGCCAAAATTAGTTTCCTCTGTCAGGTTGTTGGGCCTTCCTCTGGAGCCTGCCTGGGCATGACCAACCGGGAGGTAGACCCAGACCCTACCTGGTCAGCTACCTCTGCGACCCAGCCCGTATAAGCATAAGACAATGGATGGATGCAGCAGATTTAAATGTGGTTTCATGAGGGGACTTCTGGGTACACGCTCTACTGACTGCTACTTTTGATATTTAACATTAAAGACATTAAAGAAAAAGCAAAAAGATTCCTGGGTCCGCCGCCCGACCTGGATCAGTATAAAATTGTAATGGAGATGAAAACTTCACCTCCTTGGCAGGGCACATAAAGTGGCTACTTTGTGGATACGATGATTTCATCTAATTAATTATATTAAATATTCTCCCATCTGTGAGAAAAATAACACAAAACACTTAATGTTCTATAATTCAAGTAACCTTTTATAGACTTAAACGTCAAGCCAAACTGTATGAGTCAGCTGAGCGCTCCATCTACACACTGACTATTTGGCTGGCTGAAGATTTATATGAGGCTGTCTAACGGGATGTTTTCTCACCTCACTCCCATCTTACAGTCCATCACACATGGAAAGTCGAACTCGGCCAGCAGATCCTCCATCTGGTTGTACTTCTGGCCGTCCTTCTCTACATCTCCATGGTAACCAGGGACGTAGGGGCGCAGCACGTCCCTCATCAGGAGGGACAAGCAGCGCTGCTCACATTCACAGTGTTTCTACAGAATATCATCAGCAAGTTATCATCATATCATTATTACGTAGCCTTGGCTGCACTTATTCTGTACCAGGATGTAATCTGAATGCCATGACAAAGAGGGTGTGGTTGATGTGAAGGTTTGACTCACTTTTAAAATGCGACCGTTGGCTCCTGCCTTGAAGCTCCCTGTAAAAACACACTATTTTACTGTGGAGTCGCTGCAGGCCCTCATTTCTCTTCAGCTGAAACTCAAACTCAAAGATGTCTATTTAAACACCTGATGTTTCTGAATCTCACTTCTACTCATTCACATACACACACACACACATACTTCCTCTTAGGGCTCTGACCTCTAGGTCTCAAAGAACTAGCACCGAAGTGCTGACAACAAAGATTCGGTAAAAGCTTTAAAACATTATACACAAACAAAACCTTGATAACAATTTTTAGGCTACTGTCCAACCAAACTATTCCTTCCACTCATACAACATCCCAGCATTTCCAGCGTCACAACTTTCCACATAGAAAAAGAAGGAGGCTCATCCCCAACTCACTTTGGTATTTAGCTTTTAAAATATATTTGAACCTTGTTATTTGTGTGTTTGTGTGTCCACAATACCTGCGTGCCCTGCCAGTTGTATCCAGGGATATTTCTTCTTGAAGGACATGACAAACGGAGACCAGTGGACCATGTTCTTAATCTTCTTCCAAGACTTGTGCTACGAACAGAAACATAAGAGATGATCCTTCAGTGATGAATGATCCATCCATCCATCCATTTTCTACACCACTTGTTAGTTGAGGGTTACAATGTGGTGGGAGACTTCCAGCTGACATTGGGTGAGAGGAGTGGCACATCCTGTACAGGTTGCCAGCGTAACACAGGGCCAGACTGAATTAAATCTGTCAATATCAATCGATCATTTGCTCCACCAGAACCTCCTGCTTTATATGTTACATAAATGCTGCCTCGTGACCAGTGTGGTAAGACATGATATTTGATGATGAGGATTTGAGGCAGTGTTTATGCATGCTTTGTAAAATATGAATTTAGGTCTAAGTCTATTAAAAGCTTACTCTCTCAGCATTTCTCTGCAGCATCTGGAGGATTTCACTGTTTAACACATACACACACAAAAGCACACTGAAACATCCCTGACCCTGGGGGATCTGTCCTCGCTCTCCCACACTTTTTCCAACTGAACTCTGGAGGATCAAACTGGGGTTTCCCTGGGTAACACACACTCACGCACACACACACACGTTCGTATTACTTATTATTATTGAGGACACTTTCTCGAGCTGATTAACCTCGTTAACGTCGGTTTGAATCGTTAACGTTAACGTTTCAAACCGAATGCCTAACCCTAACCGCAAGTCTTCACCCTCAAACAGCCCATTGAAAAAGTAAGGACTGGTCAAAATGTCCTCACTTCCCAAAAAATCAGCCCCCCAACACACACACACACACACACACACACACACACA